AGGTGTATGTGGCTGGCGCCTGAGCAGCTTGAGCCACAGGCGCCGAGCCCGGAATAAGCTTTTTATACCAAAGGCTGGGTCTGCACATCTAAATTGGTGAAAAAGGTCTATGGTAAAAACAGTACATAAACCAGTAAAAAAATAAATAAATAAAAAATTAGCTGGGCATGGTGGCACATGCCTGTAGTCCCTGCTATTCAGGAGGCCAAGGCAGGAAGATCCCTTGAGCCCAGGAGTTTGAGGTTGCAGTGAGTGATGATCATACCATTGCACTTTAGCCTAGGCGACAGAGCCTGTCCCTGTCTTAAGAAAAAGGAGAGAGAGAGAGAAACAGAGAGAAAATGAAGGTAAACATTCAAGAAAGTTTCCTAGAACCAAAGAATTTGACTTTCTAGATTGAAAGGGCCCACTGAGTGCGAGAAATGAAAAATGACTCACAGCAAGACCTATAATAGTGAAATTTCAGAACACTGGGTGTAGATAGTAGTTCCTCAAAGTACCTTAAGGGACAACACAAGTGACACGCAATAGTGGACATCCAAATAGCATCAAACATCTACCAATAGTGGGACTAGAAAACAATGAGAAAATAGCAAAAAAATAAAATATATATATGTATATATGTATTTATATGTATAATATATATAAAATGTATATATATATGTATTCTGTGAGAAAATGATGTCTAACCTAGAATCTCAATCAACTATCAATTCAATATAAGGCTAGACTAAGGATGTTTTTAAATTTGCAAGTCTCAAAAAATTTACTTCCTTTACCTGACACCTATTAGAAATTCCAAAATGTAAAACAAACAAACAAAATGATGATGGAGGGTGCAGAACAACTGGTACTCTCCTATGTTCCTAGTAGAAATGTAAAAATAGTGTAACTACTTTGAAAACAGTTTGATAGTTTCTCAAGAAGTTAAACACTTTAGATGGGACCCAACGGTTCTACTCCAAGCGGTTTATCCAAGAGAAGTGAAATATATTCATGCAAAGACCTATATATATGGTCCTTATTCATGATCATCAAAAATTGGAAATAACCCCAAAGAATCCATCAGCCAGTGAATGAATAAAGAAATTTGTGGGCTCAGCACCTGTAGCACAGTGGTTATGGCACCAGTCACATACACCAAAGTTGGCAGGTTCGAACCCAGCCTGGGTCAGCTAAAACAACAATAATAACTGCAACAACAACAACAAAATAGCCAGGCATTGTGGTGGGTGCCTGTAGTCCCAGCTACTTGGGAGACTGAGGCAAGAGATTGTTTAAGCCTAAGAGTTGGAGGCTGCTGTGAGCTGTGATGCCACAGCACTCTACGGAGGGTAAAATAATGAGACTCTGTCTCAAAAAAAAAAAAGAAATTTGTGAGTAAAGAATTGTCCATGCGGGCACCGCCTGTGGCTCAGTGAGTGGGGTGCCAGCCCCATATACCAAGGGTGGCGGTTTCAAACCTGGCCCTGGCCAAACTGCAACAAAAAAATAGCTGGGCATGGTGGCAGGCACCTATAGTCCCAGGTACTCAGGAGGCTGAAGCAAGAGAATCGCTTAAGCCCAGGGGTTGGAGGTTGCTGTGAACTGTGACACTACAGCACTCTACCGAGGGTAATAAAGTGAGACTCTGTCTCTATAAAAAAAAAAAAAAAAAAGAATTGTACACGCAATAATATGGGTGACTCAAAAATATTAGACTGACTGAAAGCGGCCAGATAAGTACTGTATAATTACTTATAGTCCACTCTGGAAAAGGCAAACCTTTGGGGGACAGAAATCAAGGTTGGAGGTGAGGAAGGGGATTGAGTACAAAGGGACACAAGGGAACTTAGTAGTGTGATGAAAGCATTCTATATCTTTCTTGTGGTGGTGATATATTACTGAATGTCAGTACTCATTGAACTCTGCGTCTAAAAGCAGGAAATTTTTCTGTACGTAAATTAAATCTCAATGAATCAAACATCAAAACAAGTTTCTCCTCCGGCCTCTCTCAGAAAACAACTGAAGCAGTGCCTGACACATTGGCTTATGCTTGTGATCCCAGTACTCTGAGAGGTGGGTGGATTGCTTGAGGTCAGGAGTTCAAGACTAGCTTGAGTAAAAGCAAGACCCTGTGTCTGCTTAAAAAAAAAAGAAAGGAAGAAAAGAATTTCCCAGATGTTGTGGCAGGCACCTGTAGTCCCAGCTACTTGAGAGGCTGAGGCAGGAGGATCTCTGGAGCCCAAGACTTTGAGGTTGCTGTGAGCTATGATGTCACAGTACTCTACCCAGGGGGACAAAATGAGACTCTGTCTCAAAAGAAAAGAAAAAACAACTGAAGGGTATTCACCATCAAAACTAAGGAGTAAACTGAGAAAGAGAAGGGCATTGAGATTCAGGAGACAGAGAATCCAATATAGAAAAGAAAAATTTCCAAGATGTGAGTTAACTTTATTCCAAGAAATAGCCATGCAGGAAGACTAGAAAATCCAACTATTCTAAACTTGAGATGGGAGAAGGGTTATAGGAGAGAGTTCCTCCAAGGAAAAATTGAAATTGACAGAATAGTTTTGGGATGAATTGGTGATAAGCACACAGAAAGCAGAGCAAACTAAAAAAAGAGGTATTTATTAGCTCTGGAGAACTATAAAAATTACATAAGAAAGGAATTTAATCGTAGTTCTCAGCCGACTCAACTATGAGTGATATTTATGAACTTAGGTAAAAGCCAAAAATTATTGTAAATAAAACAGTGAAATAAGAACACAAGAGAGAGACTCTTGTGTGTATGTATGTGTGTGTATTGGGGAAGTGCATGACTAAAAGATTTTTTTAATGCCAGATGAAATGGTTAGAGGACTAAAGGTTATTTTCCCTGGGGATTTAGAATTGGGTTTTAGTTTGGAGACAAACTTCTTTTCATCATAAGTAATGTAAGACACTTTTAACTATTTAATACATAATATTGTTTTTCAAAAGTGTTTATTTTTAGACTCTGCACCCGTAGCACAGTGGTTACGGCAGTAGCCATATACACCAAAGTTGGCAGGTTTGAAGTTGGCCTGGGCCAGCTAACCAGCAATGACAACTGAAAAAAAAAAAATAGCCAGGTACTGTGGCAGGCGCCTGTAGTCCCAGCCACTTGGGTGGCTAAGGCAAGAGAATCGCTTGAGTCCAAGAGTTGGAGGTTGCTGTGAGCTATGACGCCACAGTACTCTACTGAGGGTGACATAAAGTTCCATTTGAAAGACTTTTTATCTGAAAATCTCTTGTTATGTGAAATAACTTTTCTCAGTAATACCTGATAAATAAGGCAACAATGGGTTAAAAATACATAAAATTAGTTTTTCCTGATGTAAGCCCCATAAGTAAAGATGAGTAACTATCCTTAGTTACTCTGAGTAAAGTTTAGAGCCAGGGATGTCCATCTGTAGTCTGTGGGCCCTATGCAGACTTCATGAGGATTATCTGTGGTGTCAGAGATCATGAGAATTAATTATAGACTTTTTTTTTTTTTTTTTTTTTGCTCATCAGCTTTCATTAGTGTGTGTATATTTAACGTATGGCCCAAGACAACTCTTCTTCTAGTGTGTGGCAGAGAAGAAAAAAGGTTGGACATTTCTGCTGGGATATCTTTCTCTTCTTTCAGATTTCATGTCTTTTTTTTTTTTTTTGAGACAGTCTACTATGTTGCCCTCGGTAGAGTGCCATGGTGTCACAGCTCACAGCAACTTCAAACTCTTGGGCTTAAGTGATTCTCTTGCCTCAGCCTCCCAAGTAGCTGGGACTGTAGGCGCCCACCACAACACCTGGCTATTTTGTTGTTGTTGTTGCAGTTGTCATTGTTGTTCAGCTGGCCCAGACTGGGTTTGAACCCACCAACCTTAGTGCACGTGCCTGGCACTGTAACTGTGGTGCTACAGGCGTCAAGCCCAGAGATAGATAGATAGATTTTATTTTTTTTAAGTAACATTTGAGTTCTGGTTGTCTAGATTCTGAAATGAGCTCATCATGGAAGAAATGGACCTTTTCATCACTGTCTTTTGTAGGCAGTCCTGTATCCAGGTTCGGTATGCTATAGGATGGGAGGAAAAGGTTATTACTTCTTAACCGAGAACCATGACTGGGAACCATAAACAGGCTCTGATAAATGGAGTACTTTGTGAAACTGGTATTTTCCCCAGGTTCTCCAGATATCATCTTCTGAATAAAGTAAAGTTATATATAAAGCAATTTTACAGTCATTATAAAACAGCATCTTATTGAAAAGGATGGTATCTCTTCAGTTCAAAAACAAATTTTTTTCTGTTCCAGCGTTCCTAGAATCCCATGGGCCTTTGCCATGACAGAAGTATGTGGCATGATTCTTTGCTATATTTGGCTCCTGGTTCTTCTTCTTCACAAGCACAGGTACCTCGCCTATTCCATCAAAAGACTGAAAATGTTTTAACTCTCTTATGTCAAGGTCATTAAACTTTGTCTCTTCCTTTGCAGTTTCCTTGTTATTTTCTTTCTCTAGTCAGTGTGACATTATAGTTATCAAAGGAAAATGTTTTGGGTTTGATCAACAAAAGAGCCAGCCTAAGATAATACCTACAAGTTTAATAATATTGTGAATGTATCTTGTAGGTAAATATCAGAGATGGGGGTGATCAGCCATGGGCCAGCCTTTGTCAGTCTAACCTTACCTCTCTTTTTTTTTTTTGAGACAGAGCCTCAAGCTATCCCCATGGGTAGAGTGCCGTGGCATCACGCTCACAGCAACCTCCAACTCCTGGGCTCAAGCGAGTCTCCTGCCTCAGCCTCCCAAGTAGCTGGGACTACAGGCGCCCGCCACCCGCCTGGCCATTTTTTTTTTGGTTGCAGCCATCATTGTAGTTCGGCGGGCCCGGGCTGGGGACTCGAACCTGCCACCTTAGGTGTATGTGGCTGGCGCCCCAGCCGCTTGAGCCACAGGCGCCGAGCCAACCTTACCTCTCTTTAGAAAAAAACTGGAAATGTCACTTCCTATAGAAGGGTAGAAACTTCTCCAAGGACAATCTTTGGTCGAATGTTTAGATGAAAGAAATTGTTTTCTGCTTGGAGGAGGTCCATTAAAAAGAGATTATTTTGTACACCTAGTCCATGTGGTTTACTTCAGTTAGTGTAGGAAGTTGTTAAATAATGAAAGTGCTTCTTGGCACTTTCACCAAAAATATAAAGAGAAGGATTTTTTTTAATTTAAAAAAAAAAGGAAACATAAGGGGGAGCTCCTTTCCTACTTTAATGGGGGGAAAATTTCTTCATTTAAGTAAAAAATAGGCATAGTGAGGAAAAATTTACAGGTAAAATTTGTCGTTATCTGCTGTCATAGACTTTGGAATGTGCTGGAAAAGGACAAGGGCACTGTCTTGAGTCTTTGATCTTTTGTCCTTCCTAGGAAGTGCTTGAGGTAAACCACAGGGATGGGCTTCAGGTTCTAAGCAGCAGTTATTTTAGTGCCTGGAAGGTGGAAGGAAAGGTTGGTGATTATTGTTCTTGCCGCACTTTGAGGTCATGTTGCACCTCGTTTGCTCCTGTTTCACAGTAATCTTTTTTTTTTTGAGACAGAGTCTCATTATGTCGCCCTTGGTAGAGTGCCGTGCTGTCACAGCTCACAGCAACTTCCAACTCCTGGGCTTAAGTGATTCTCTTGCTTCAGCCTCTGGAGTAGCTGGGACCACAGCGCCTGGCTATTTTTTGGTTGTAGTTGTCATTGTTGTTTGGTGGGTCTGGGCTGGATTTGAACCTACCAGCTCTGGTGTATGTGGCTGGTGCCTTAGCCGCTTGAGCTACTGGCGCCAAGCCCACAGTAATCTTTTTAATTCTGGGTTGCTTAAAACCAGAGGTGGTAGGTGGTGCCTGTGGGTCAGTGAGTAGGGTGCCGGCCCCATATACCAAGGGTGGCAGGTTCAAACCAGGCCCCGGCCATACAGCAACAAAAAATAGCCGGGCTTGTGGCCGGCACCTGTGGTCCCAGCTACTAGGGAGGCTAAGGCAAGAGAACTGCCTAAGCCCAAAAGCTGGAAGTTGCTGTGAGCTGTGACACCACAGAACTCTACCAAGGGTGACAAAGTGAAACTCTGTCTCTAAAAAGCACCAGAGGTGGTTTAAAAACATGCACCTTACTATTGCTTTCTGGCTAATTTTGCCTCACAAAATCCCATGGATTTGAATTCATCTATTCTTCAAAACAGGGATTACCATATAGGAAACCTTGATAGATTTAGTAAAGCATAGCAGTGGCTAGTTAAATGCAGTGTTAATGTTTACTTAGTCAGAGGAGTGTTTCTGAAAGCATTTGTACCACTTTCATTAGAATCACCTTAAAATGCAATTCCTAGACTGTATTAAAGGTGTCCACACCTACCCTTGTGTTCAGTGCTTTTTTTTTTGAGGGAAGAAGGAGCATTTTGAAAATGTGTGAAGTGTGGTCCCTCTCTTCAAAACTCTTAGTCTGTTTTGGTTTAAGACATTTAAAGTAATAACACAACAGTACAAGTGATGTCACAATGCAGCTCTTAATTGTCCAATGACAGTTATTCAAAATTTTTATTTGATATGTACTTAATATAAAACTTTATTTATTAAAAACAGTATTTTATAGCATAAATTTAAGTTAGGAGAAATTGCAAAGAATATTAGATAACTACTATCATTAACCAATTTATAATATTATTAAGCAAAAAACCCTACAGTCATGGGTGTTTGACTTTACCTCTTTTTTTTTGTTTGTTTGTTTTTGAGACAGAGTCTCACTATGTCACCACTGGTAGAGTACCACAGATAGCCAGAGGTTGTAGCAGGCATCCGTAGTCCCAGCTACTTGGGAGGCTGTGGCAAGAGAATCTCTCAAGCTCATGAGTTTGGTTGCTGTGAGCTATGACGCCACGAAACTCTACTGAGGTTGACAAAATGTTCTGTCTAAAAAAAAAGGCTCAGTGCCTATAGCACAGTGGTTACAGCGCCAGCCACGTACATTGAGGCTGGCAGGTTTGAACCCTGCCCGGACCAGCTAAACAGCAATGACAATTGCAACAAAAAAAAAGCCAGGCATTCTGGTGGCCACTGTAGTCCTAGCTACTTGGGAGGCTGAGGCAAGAGAATAGCTTAAGCCCAAGAGTTGGAGGTTGCTGTGAGCTGAGACTCCACAGCACTCTACCAAGGATGACACACGGAGACTCTGTCTCAAAAAAAAAAAATAGAGCAACACCTTGTCTCTAAAAATAGCCAGGCATTGTGGCAGGCACCTGTAGTCCCAGCTACTCGGGAGACTGAGGCAAGAGAATCTCTTGAGCCCAAGATTTTGAGATTGTTGTGAGCTATGATGCAAGGGCACTCTACCAAGGGCAACATAGTGACACTCTGTCTCAAAAAAAAAAAAAAATTAATTAACTAAAATAAAATTTAAAATTTAATTTACCAGTCATACTTGTCACATTTCAAGTCCTCAAGAGCCACATGTAGATAGCTTATTGGACAGTGTATAGAATACTTCTATCATTGCAGGGAGTTCTATCAGAAAATAAAGCAATGATCTCTTAAATTTCCATCTTCTTCAAAAAGTCTACTAGTTTTTCTTCTTGCTCTCCCTTTAAGTAAACAGTCAATGCCTAGAGTTTTTTGATTTGTTTTCTTCTGATCTTTGCCCCTTTTTGGTCGCTGTGTTCACAGGTCCATTCTCCTGCGAAGGCTCTGTAGTCTGATGGGCACTGTATTCTTGCTTCGCTGCTTTACCATGTTTGTGACCTCCCTCTCCGTGCCAGGACAGCACCTGCAGTGTACTGGAAAGGTAGCCTGCTACCTTCTTTATCACTCTTTCTTCTTGTTCTTCATGGGTTGATGGCACAACATATGTAATAGGTCTAAGATTTTGCTTTTGGTATTAAAATGTGCTTTATGGTATTTGCAATACTTGCAATAAACCTTTAGAAAGAAATAATTTGGTAAAAATCTTAAGCCAAAATCTACCTCCCTGTTCTGTCCATTGGTAGCTCTGTGCTGGAACTCTAGAAAAAAATGCCTTTCAGTTATTTTGCTTTACATTTTCCCTTTCAAACCATCTTCGGCATCTTAGAAGTTCTTCATATGGTGTACTCCGGTTACTTCACTGTCCTCATCACTCCTTTTTAAAAGATGTTGCAGTTTGACCATATCTCATTAAAAATATAGTACCCAGCATTCTAAACTTTACTCTTGGCTCAGTGCCTGTAGCTCAGCAGCTAGGGCGCCAGCCACATATACCTGGGCTGGCATGTTTGGCCCAGGCCTGCCAAACAATAATGACAACTACAACAAAAAAATAGCCAGGTGTTGTGGCAGGTGCTTATATTCCTAGCTACTTGGGAGGCTGAGGCAAGAGAATCGCTTAAGCCCAAGAGTTGGAGGTTGCTGTGAGCTATGACGCCATGGCACTCTACTGAAGGTGACAAAGTGAGACTCTGTCTCAAAAAAAAAATAAAAAAAATAAACTTTACTCTTTCTGAGATATACAAAGTAATAGTTAATTTGGGGTTTTGTCTTATACTTTGTAGCTTGTTGTTTTGGCATACTACAGACATCTCTTCTAATTAAACTGAGAGATGAGAAATTTGGGGGACAGAAATAGAGGATTATGAATTACTTTTAAAAACTCTGAAATTACCTGTACTTTATATACAAAATTGGCTATTGCAACTCATTGAATTTGGACAAAAGAATGTATTATTGTATTTTGGTAGGACTCTGTGCTTTAGTTCTGTGTTTCTAAATATTCTAATGTATGTGTTAATACTGTTGTTCTTATTTTAATGTTATTTGTAACAACATTCAAGTTCAGTCCTTACGCTGTAATATAAATAGCTGAAATGCCAACAAGGGAAGATTAAGCAGCCAAAGGAGATCAAGAGCTAAAAATGTACCCCTGAGCTGAATAATGACAGAACTTTCTTTGGGTATTTAGGAATGCTTAGGCTGACCCGTAAGAAAGGGGACCACTTAGAATTTCATGTAAAGGAAATGTTTGGGTTTTTTTTCTGAGACAGAGTCTCAAGCTGTCACCCTAGGTAGAGTGCCATGGTGTCATAGCTCACAGCAACCTCCAACTCTTGGGCTTAAGCAATTCTCCTGCCTTGGCCTCCTAAGCAGCTAGGACTACAGGCACCCACCACAATGCCTGACTATTTTATGTTACAGTTGTCATTGTTGTTTAGCTGGCCCAGGCTGACTTAGAACCCGCCACTATTGGTGTATGTGGCTGGTGCTACAACCACTGTGCCACAGGTGCCAAGCCTGTATTTATTTTTTTTATTAACTATTTTGGATACTAGTCTCTAAATTTTTATTTTCTAATTTTACTATTTATAAACAATCCTTCAGTAAACATTGTTATACAATTTGTGCTTTTGTACTTAATTATCTCCTTAGCATAAATTATTGGTAGTAGAATTATAAAATTAAAGGGCATGCACATTAAAAAATGTGATGTAAGGGGTGCCCATAGCTCAGTGGTTAGGGTGCTAGCCACATGCTCTGGGGTTGGCAGGTTTGAACCTGGTCCAGGCCTGCTAAACAAACAAACAAACAAAAAATATCCGGGCATTGTGGTGGGTGCCTATAGTCCCAGCTATTGAGGCTAAGGCAAGAGAATCCTTTGAGTCCAAGAGTTTGAGGTGGTTGTGAGCTATGACGCCACAGCACTCTTAAAAAAAAAAAAATGTGGCTTGGCTCCCATAGCTCAGTGGGTGGGGTGCTGACCACATACACCCAGGCTGGCAGCTTCAAACCTGGCCTGGGCCAGCTAAACAACAATGACAACGGCAACAAAAAAACCCCCCAGGCATTGTGGCAAGCGCCTATAGTGCCAGCTACTTGAGAGGCTGAGGTAAGAGACTCAACTTAAGCCCGAGAGTTGGAGGTTGCTGTGAGCTATGACACCATGGCACTCTACCCAGGGCAACAGCTTGAGACTCTATCTCAAAAAAAAAGAAATAACAAGGTATAGAAATTTACTTTAAGTGTTTCTAGAAATTTTAAAAAACAGACATGTTCTCGGTTCTGTCCCCAGATCCCTCACTTCTGGGAATGCAATTTTAAGCAATTAATTTATTGCACTGAAAATGCCTTATGGAATTTAGGAGATTTGATTGCTAGTTACTATCATCCTAACTTTCTATTTTTAATGATCGCTGCAAATAATACAGGTCAATAAGTAGGTTATAATTCAAAGCAATTAACATTTTTTAGGGCAGATTTGAACAGAAATATTCATATATAACCAAATGATAATGAAAAGTACTCATTAGAGACAGAAAAGGGGCTGTGTTCAGACCATAGAGGGATAGTTTCTAATTTATTTCTGTGGCATACGTTGCAGCCCTTTGCACATATAGCTCTCTCTTCAGTGGCTGACCCACAATTAAATCCCTCAGCTATAAGAAATTCTGTTCCTGGCACCTGTGGCTCAAAGGAGTAGAGCGCCGGCCCTGTATACTGAAGGTGATAGGTTCAAACCCGGCCCCAGCCAAAAACTCGGGGGGGGGGGGCGGGGAGAAAGAAAGAAATTCTCTTCTTAGTGTAAAAAGCTTACATTTTTCTTCTTTAAAATCTCTCCTACTCGATTAGCATACTATTTTGAGGAAACTGTTCATGTCATGTACAAAAACAAATTTAAGATAGATTAAGGATATAAAATATAAAAAATAAGACTATAAAAGTATCAGACACCACCTTTTATTAATCCGAATGGGAATGCTGGCAAGAAAGTGGGAAAACTGACATGCATACATGTTGGTAGTAGTGAAAAACTCATTTCTTCAAGTGAGGATTTAAGCAATATACATCACTTTTTTTTTTTTTTTGAGACAATCTCAAGCTGTCCCTCTGAGTAGAGTGCCATAGCATTGCAGCTCACAGCAACCTCTAACTCCTGGGCTCAAGTGAGTCTCCTGTCTCCACCTTCCAAGTAGCTGGGACCAGAGGTGCCTGCCACAACGCCTGGCTATTTTTTGGTTGTAGCCATCATTGTTGTTTGATGGCCTGGGCTGGATTTGAACCCGCCACCTTAGGTGTATGTG